GAGAACTATAGAGTAGTGATTACTAGTGGGGTGGGGGAGGTAGATGGGGTAAAGGTCACAAATAGGGGGTAGGGGGATGGTGAAGTGGGTAAAGGAGATCAAATACATAGTAGCTGAAGGAAACTGGACTTTGAGTGGTAAACACACAATAGAATTTACAGATGTCAAATTATAATGTACACCTGAAAATTATATAATTGTATTAACCAATGTTACCACAATGAACTTAATTTACAATAAAATATATATAATATCTTTCAAATATCCAAATACACCTTAGTGGGAGCCCATAAATTATTCTTTGAGTGGTAAACACACAATAGAATTTACAGATGTCAAATTATAATGTACACCTGAAAATTATATAATTGTATTAACCAATGTTACCACAATGAACTTAATTTACAATAAAATATATATAATATCTTTCAAATATCCAAATACACCTTAGTGGGAGCCCATAAATTATTCTTTGAGTGGTAAACACACAATAGAATTTACAGATGTCAAATTATAATGTACACCTGAAAATTATATAATTGTATTAACCAATGTTACCACAATGAACTTAATTTACAATAAAATATATATAATATCTTTCAAATATCCAAATACACCTTAGTGGGAGCCCATAAATTATTCTTTGAGTGGTAAACACACAATAGAATTTACAGATGTCAAATTATAATGTACACCTGAAAATTATATAATTGTATTAACCAATGTTACCACAATGAACTTAATTTACAATAAAATATATATAATATCTTTCAAATATCCAAATACACCTTAGTGGGAGCCCATAAATTATTCTTTGAGTGGTAAACACACAATAGAATTTACAGATGTCAAATTATAATGTACACCTGAAAATTATATAATTGTATTAACCAATGTTACCACAATGAACTTAATTTACAGTAAATTATATATAATATCTTTCAAATATCCAAATACACCTTAGTGGGAGCCCATAAATTATTCTTTGAGTGGTAAACACACAATAGAATTTACAGATGTCAAATTATAATGTACACCTGAAAATTTCGTTAACCAATGTCACCATAATAAAAAATATATATTTAAACCTCTTAAAAAAAAGAGAGAAAAAATACACTCTGTACTTTGTGAAATTATCTTTCAAAAGTAAAGAAGAAATACTTTTTTATACAAATATTGAGGGAATCTGTGCTAGTATACCTCCCTTTTGAAGTATTTGAAGACATTCTTTAGAGAGAAGTAAAGTTAATAGGTCAGAAACTCAGTTTTACATAAAGATCATTGGAGAAGGAATAAGTGAAGATTAAAAAAAACTACTTATTTTTCTTATTCTTGATCTGACAGATAAACTTTGTTTAAAATAATAACAACACTGTATTTGAGTATGTCTGCATGTGTGTGCGTCTGTATGTATGCTTATATATAAGTGAAATGAATGTTAGCAATGATATAAGTGATGGAAGAGAGAACTTAGGATTATTTTGTTTTTATAAGGTACTCACACTACCTGTGAAACTGTATAGTGTTATTTAAAAGTAGACTACGATTACTTGTACATGTATATTGCAAACTCTAGGGCAACCACTAAAAAGGAATAAAAAGAATATGTGATATGCTAAGAAAGTAAAGAAACTGCAATCAAAAAGAATGTTTAATTAAAACCATAAAAGGCAGAAAGAGTGGAAAACAAATAGAGGAACAAAAAACAAGGGCAACAAATCGAAAATTAACAAATACAACAGATATTAATCCAGTTACATCAATATTCACTTTGAACATCAATGGTCTAAATGCACCAATTAGAAAATAGAGATTGTCAGAGTGGATCAAAAAATAAGACCCAATTGTCTATAAGAAACTGATTTTAAATATAAAAAAATACGTATAGATTAAAAGTAAATGAATGGAGAAATATATATAGCATGCTAAAACTAATCAAAAGAAAGCAGGAGTAGCTATACTGATTTTGGACACTAAAGCCTTTAAAGTAAGTAATCAGGGATAATGAAGGGTATTACATAATTATGAAGGGGACAATTCTCCAAGAAGACATATCAATCCTTTACATGTATGCACATAACAGTGTCAAACTACATGAGGCTAAAACAGACAGAAGAGCAAAAAGAAATAAATGAATCCACACTGTTTTATCACAAATGGGCTGACAGAGTAGGCAGAAAATCAGTAAAGACATAGTTGAACTAAACAACAACATTAATCAATAGGATATAATGAATACCTAAAGACTACTTCTTCAAACAAAAGCAGAATACACATTCTTCTTAAGCTCTCATGAAACATTCACCAAGACAGACCACATGCTGGGCCATAAAACACATCTTAACAAATTTAAAAAATATAAATCACACAATGTCTGCTCTCAGGCCACAATGGAATGAAAACTAGAAATCAATAACAAAATGCAAGCTAAAAACCCCCAACTATGTAGAGATTAAATAACACTCAACAGCACAAGGATCAAAGAAAAAAATCTCCAGAGAAATTTAAAAATGTTTTGAACTAAATGAAAATGAAAATACGACTTATCAAAATTTGTGAGATGCAGCAAAAGCAATGCTTAGAGGGAAACTGATAGTATTGAATGCATATATTTGAAAAGGAGAAAGATCTAAAATGAATCATCTTAGCTTCCACCTTATAAAACTAGAAAATGAAGAGCAAATTAAATTGAAAGCAAGCAGACAAAAAATAATAAAAAATAGGGCCGAAATCAATGAAATTGAAAATAGGAAATCAACAGAGAAAAAGCAGCAAAACCAAAAACTGGTTCTTTGAAAAGATCAACAAGCCTCTAGCCAGGCTTCCAAGTGAGAAGGCAGAAATTATTAATATCAGAAATAAAAAAAGGAATATCACTACAGATATGGACATTAAAATGATAATAAAGAAATACTATAAGAACACTATGCCCACAAATTTTATAACCTAGATGAAATGGACCAATTCCTCGAAAGATACAATTTGCCAAAACTCACAGAGAAGAAATAACAATCTGAACAAGATTATATTTATTAAAAGATATTGAATTAACAATTGACAACTTTCCAAAACAGCACCAGGTCCAGGAGGATTCACTGATGAGTTTTAACAAACATTTAAGGAAGAAATTATACCAATTCTCTATAGTTTCTTCCAGCAGATAGAAGTAAAGAGAATATTTCCTAACTCATTTTGTAAGGTCAACATTACCCTATTTACAAAACCAGACAAAGGAATTACAAGGAAAAAAAAACCCTATAGCATATCCCTCATGAACACAGATGAAAACATCCTCAACAAAATATTAGTAAATCAAATTCAATACTACGAGCATCTGGGATTTATCTGGGAAAACTTGGAAAAGCAGATGACAAAGAGTATATTTAAGATCTTTATTACACATGGGTAGTCTAGTATCAACTCAATGTACCAGGTATGAAAGGCTGGTTAAATCTTTTAAAACCAATTAATATGATCCATCGCATCAACAGGTTAAAGAAAAAAAGTCACAGTCACATGATCATATCAACGGATATGGAAAAAGCATTTAAAAAAACTCAATTATCAATTTATGATAAAACTTTCACTAGAAATAGAGAAGAGTGCTGTCAACTTGATTTAAAAAAATCCACAAAAATCCTACAACAAATATCATACTTAAAGGTAAGAAGCTTGAACCTTTACCATTATGTTTAGTAACAAGTAAAGGATGTCCTAGCTAATACAATAAGGCAAGAAAAGTAAAAGCTATATAGATTAAGAAGAAATAAAACTGTTTTTGTTTGCAGATGTCACGATCATCTATACAGAAAATCTGAAAGAACTGACCAAAAAACTCCAGGAACTAATAAGCAACCATAGCAAGGTTGCAAGATACAGGTTATTATATAAAAGTCAATGGCTTTCCTATATACCAGCAATGAACAAGTAGAATTTGAAATTAAAAACAATATCATTTACATTAGCACCCCCCAAAATGATATAGTTAGGTGTAAATCTAACAAAATATAGATAAGATCTGTATGAGAAAACCTAAAAAAATCTGATGAAAGATATCAAAGAAGAACTCAATAAATGGAGAGCTATTCCATATTTACAGATAGAGAGATTCAATATTGTCAAGATATTAGTTCTTCTCCACTTAATCTACAGATTCAATGTGAACCCAATCAAAATACCAGCAAGTTATTTTGTGGATATTGTCAAAATGATTCTAAAGTTTATATGGAGAGGCAAAAGACCCAGAACAGCCACCACAATACTAAAGAAGAACAAAGTTGAAGGACTCACACTTTGTTCAAGACTTCCTATAAAGCTACAGTAATCAATCAAGGTAGTGTGGAACTGGCAAAGGAATAGAAAAACTCGATCAATGGAACAAAAGAGAGAATACAGAAACAGATCCATATAAATACAGTCAACTTATTTTTGACAAAGGAGCAAAGGCAATACAATGGAGCCAAGATAGAATTTTGCTTGTCCATTTGTCAATATTTTCTTCACATTTCTTTTTCCTTCATTTGTTCTCTTTGTTGATTTATGTTTTGCTTAGGGGCAGAGTCAGTGATTAAATATAGTTGTTGCCTTAGAACACATTTTTTTTTCTGACTATAATCATCACAGTTTCCAAATTTTTTTTTAAGATTCCACATATAAATGAAATCATATGGTATTTGTCTTTCTCTCTGTCTGACTTATTTCACATAGCATAATATTCCTTAGCCTCACCCATGTTGTTGTAAATGGCAAGATTTCACTCTTTTTTTTTTATTACTGAGAAATGCACATAGTTGTTTCGAACAAGAAAGACAGCACAATAATTAAGACATACTTAAATTAGTGAATAAAAAGTAGCTTATTATTGAATTTGCTTCTCTAAGCACAAATAAAAATACATAAAGCCCTTTATAAAGTTTGTGTGCAAGATCAACTGTATGTAAGAATTTTAAACAAGTCGCAACGTTCTCTTCTGACAGAAATGAAATATGAGACATCATTCCTGTCCATTAAAGAGACTGAATACTGTTGGTAAATAATTTAGTTATACATGAGTACCTAATGACCCAATAAGCAGATAATGAAGATGCATCACTCACTGGACACTATATATATTTCAAAAAATAATTTGTATTTAACTAGATTAGTGATGGTAATGAACTTTGACAAGTTTAAAATGAGAAACACTGACACTTAGAAAATCACAAATATCTCTAAAATTCTAACAATTTAAAAAAGGAAAACTTGGAAAAGCAGATGACAAAGAGTATATTTAAGATCTTTATTACACATGGGTAGTCTAGTATCAACTCAATGTACCAAATAAAACTTTCATTTTTCAACCGACACAAACACATTAAAAATATATTTAAACCTCATTTCAGCTTGTATGTTAAAAAAAAAACTGGAAATCAAATAGGAAACAAAATTACATAAGTACTTTTATTAACAATTCCATTTTAGGCAATGCAATTGTATTGCATGCAAATATAGTCAGGCAATACACTAGGAGCTTGAAGTATAAAGATAATATCTGTGTGCATATACTTGAGAGTATAGAAAAGCCCAAGTTTTAGAAATATTGTATTTTAAATTAGTGTTTCTCAAAGTGCGGTCCATGAACCAACAGCACCAGAAGCACTGGAAAGAATTACCTTGCTTAAAAGAATTAATTGCTTGTTAAAGTAAATTTCTGTACTCCATCCAGAAACTATTAAAACAAAACAAGAATCTGCATTATTCGAAAATGCCTTTGGTGACTGCTATTTACATAAAAGATTGAGAATTGATGTCTTAAATGTTAAAAATAATTGTTGCTATAAAATCATAAAGGTGAAAAAGCCCCCCTCCATTATGAAAATTCTGAACTAAAAGTGAATTTTAAAAACTATTAGGTTAAAATGCTTAATAGTTCCTTTAAAAGTATTTGTATAATGTTTAGACTTTATACTGTGAATCTTTATTAAAATACATAACATCTAAGAATATAATAACAGATTAAAGTAAACAGACTTACAGTTGGTGATATCAGGTGGTGTGTAACCATCATTCATATACATACTTGTGGGTTTTGCCACTTTCAAATAAACAAAATCAGATGTGTTCTTTAAGGCAGTTACTGCTTCTTCATGAGTAACTTCTTCTAAACACACACTATTCACCTAAAGGAAAATTGCCACATTTATTTTAAGACATTTTCACTTCCTTTCTGTTTTTTGGTTATAAACAATTACACCTAAAGATAGGGGAAATGCAGGAGTGATTTAAGGAATATAAAGGTGTGTAGGAAGAATATACCCACTTTTATTATCTACGACATTAGGAAGTTGTTTATGGTGATAAGTGAAGTTGTTTATGTATGTTAATGAAATAGCCAATTTTGACTCCAGCCCCTATTCCTCCCAATCCCCAAGCCTGAGCCTCCTTCCACTCATAGGCATTTAGGAATATATGGATATACTGTAGCTCTTTTCTTTTTAAAAAAGAAAATGAGACCATATTAAAGTTTTTGTTCTGCAACTCGATTTTTAATATAAGGTATCTTAGAGATCATTTAATGTTGGGACATATAGAATCATCTGATTTAAAAAACTGTTGCACAGTGCCCCATTGTGTAGTTTTATCATAGCTTATAAAGCCATTCCAATCTTAACAGATATTTAAACTGTTCTTCAAAATAAATAGCTTTAGTAAATTTATACCCACTACTACAGAATGTGAGTTCTCATCAACTCATACCTTTACAAACACTGAATATTATCAATTTATAACAAAGCCTGCAAAATGATCCATATTTTAATTTGTATTTAAATTGATATTTCCATTGTTAATAGTCAGGTTGATATTTTTTCCAATTATTTTGGTCATTCACCTATCTTCTGTATAAAAACAGAATTGATTTTTAGGTAGTGATGGTAGGTCCTACAACCTTGCTAACCTTGTTTATTAGTTCTATTAGTAGGTTCCTTAGGATTTTCTATATGCAATGTTGTGTAATCTGCAAATATAGTTTTACTTCTTTCTTCCCAGTCTGAATGTCTTTTTCTTTTCTTACTGCCCTGGCTATCAATATAACATTGAATAGAAGTGGTAGTTTGTGTCTTTCTAGGAATTTATCCATTTCATTTAAGTTCTGATGCAGTTGTTCATAAATAAAAGTATTCCCTTATATCCTCTCTTTCATTCCTGCCTCTTTCATTTCTACTTTTATTTATTTCAGTCATCTTTCTTTTAGGTCAGTCTAGCTACAGGTTTGTCAATTTTGTTGACCTTTCAAAGAACCAAATTTTGGTTTTGTTGATCTTCTCTATGGTTTTTCTATTCTGTATTTCATGAATTTCTGCTCTAATTTTTATTATTTCCTTCTTTCCTGCTGCTAGCTTTAGGTTTAGATTACACTTTTTTTTGGTAAAATTTTTTTGGCAATTAAATAAAACACTATAAATGTTTCTAATGTTTTATATTACAACATATTAAACAAACATCGATTTTAGTATATTTTTCATTGCCTTAATTTTTATCTTTATAATTAATGGGAGAGTTTTTAATGTTTTCACAAAAATTTCTAAAGACCACAGAACAACTGTACCTTTCCCCATTATTAATATTGCTTTGCAGGGTTTCAGCTGCATGGTCATTTTCATGGTCTCAAACTACTGTGTATAGTGAGGACTGCCTGCAATTTGAAAATACAGCTGTGGATACTGTTCCTTTGTGACCTGCAATAAGCCATGCACCTTGGTATTCATATCCTTGCAAAATTCCTTCCTAAATTGAATATTGCTTGGCCATTAACTAGCTTTAGCCTATGACACATTAATTACTGTGATGCAAAAAGAGGATTGATAAATGCCACACACTGGAGCTTGTCTTCTTGGAAAGCTCACTCTTGGTATGTCCCTCTTTGAACCTGGCCACTATTCTGTGAGAAGCCCAACTTAGCCATGTGGAGTGGGCACAGGATACCTGTCTAATAGCCTCAGTTGAGCTACCAGCTCACAGCCAACAACAACTTGTCTGCCATATGTGAGCCAACTTGGAAGTAGATCCCTGGCCCGAGTTGAGCCACCCTAGTTGACATTATGCGGAGTAGAGACAGGCTATCCTGCCCAAACCCTCCCTAAATTGCAGAATTGTAAGCAAATAAATGATTGTTGTCATTTTAGCCATTAATTTTTGTGTTTTTATTTTAGGTAGCATCAGGTAACTGATAAATGAGCTGGTAAGATTTGCTAAGGAATTCAATGTGGAGTGCAAAAGAAAGAGATTATCCTAAAGTTTTAAATCTGGGTAAATAGAAGGATAAAGTTCCCATTTAATAAGATGTAAGACTGAGCAAGGAGCAGGATTTGGGAGCAAGGAGAGTAGGGACTCAGAATTTCATTTTTAGATATATTAAATTTGAGCTGATTCTTGAGACATACAAAAGGAGACTAGATGAAATCTCTTAGGGTGTTTCAAAAGTTTTGACAAGATCCATTGTTAAAAATTTTTATATTTCAACTGAGCACAAAAGGTGTGTGTGTGTGTGTGTGTGTGTGTAGAAATGAAACTAAAGTTCAGAAGATAATACTTATCCTTATCATGTGCAAATGAGACCTACTAAATTATTTGACCACCTATCAAAGTGAGAAGAGAAAATATACAAGGGCTGAGTTCTGGATCACTTCAATGTTTAAAGGTTAGGGAGAAGATGCACCAAAAAGGAGAATGAGAAGAAAGGACTAGTGAGGTAAGAGAAATACCAAGATAGAAGGTGACTATTCAGCAAAATGGATAAAGTGAAGGAAGATATGTCAACTACTTGATATGTCAAGGTGAGAACAAAGAACTGAATAATTTCAGTGGAATTATGACAACGAAAGCCTCACTAAATGGTAAGTTAGCATAAATTGCTAGCTCCCTACTACTAAAGTTGATTCTGGGGAAATCATAAAGAAAAACACAGTATCCAAGAAATTCAAAAAATAAAAGTGAGAAGCCCAGTGGAATAAGAAGGCTGTTTTCAACTGGTATACATAACTGTGTGTGGTGTTGTGTGTATGAGTGTAAGGGATGATGAGTGTGTGTGAGTGTAAGTGATGATGCTGGGATGTTGGCTGTCGCTTGGGGAAAAGAGTGGCAAGTCATAGCTTTGAGAGGATAGGTTATAGAAAAGTATTTCACGATGAGATCCTTCCTCCTCCCAATCATTAACTCAAAAATAGTCAGTCTATCTCTTTGCTGCAACAATAAGCAGTACCGGACAGCATGTAGAACAAAGAAATCATTTATACATTGCTGATGGAAGTATAAATTTTTACAAGCAGCTTAGAAAATATGATGTTTTTTGTTATAATGTTATTGATAACCCATGATCCATTACATCTTAAGTGGTTAAGTGAAACTCTTGTACCCTGTACATGTTTACCAGAACAAAATGCAGGTCTTCCTAGCAGAATTATTCATAATACCCCCACTTTCAAAAAAAGGGGGAAAAGAAGAAATAACCCATCTCACCACTATACCAGATCCAATTTATGTGCCTTTTCAGATTCATTTGAGCCTACCTGCCCACTAGGCCTTGGCTACATGCTTAGTGAAAACTCCTGGCTAATGCTCCTCTCAGCTTGTCTCCTATCATTACCAGCTCTTTCAACTTTTTCTGGAGTAAGAGCTGGGCTTAGGCGTAAGTGATGTGTTCCACATAGTGACAGCTATCACACATCAGAAGCCTCTGTCCGGCCTGTCTAGATTACTAAGTCTCCAGCTCTTCTTACCACTTCTGAGTTCAGGGGAAGTGCTGTGCCATGGAGGGAGGGAGCAGGGCAACACAGTCCAAAAACTTGGGACAGTTAACCACATGGGGTAGATTTTGACTAACAAGAGTCAGAGAACTAAAAGGGCCAGCAGATAAATCCTTTCTTTTCCCTGAATGGCTGGATCTAAGGTTTAGTGTGGTTCCACATTACCTGCCTAGAGGACTGTCCTACACAACAGTCAACTACATTTTCTTATGAAATTATAGCCAGCTCAGAAACATAATACCTCGAATTGGCTTTCTCTCATTCTCTGCCTCACTTTTCATTTTCACTTATTCTAGCTTCACTGAGATTCCACCTTCTGTTTATACCTACTTAGCATAGGAGCTTTTTTTCAGGTTTTGTTTTTCTAAGGAACATGGGTTAAGACACAGTTGTTGATGAAGACTGGATAAGACACAGTTGTTAATGAAGACTGTGGTATAGTCCTAGAATATTATATAAAGGTGGAATGACTAAACTTCAGGTCTAGACAACAATATGGGTAAGTCTCAGTAAAACAATATTTAGTGAAAAAAGTATTAAAAGACTACATATAACACAAAAGCCTTTAAAAAAATTTTAAAACAAATGATACTGAATAAAATATTCACGCATATATATGTAATTAAACAATTTTTAAAAAGTAAAGGAATGAGAAACACAAACTGTTGATCTTCTAGTTCTTGGTTGGGTAATGACTTTAGCAGCTTTCATTATATTAAAAAGATACTTTAAGTGTAAAAATAAAAAGGAAAAAAGGTCAAAAAAAAACAAAGGATGACGCTGTCATGAACTTAAGAATTATGATTAAACAATTCTGTGCATCCTAGCCACTAACCCTTTAAACCCTTTAAACAAAAAAATAGAAGGAAAAAAAAAAAAAAAAAACAAAGATGAAAAGGAGCAGGGAGGGAGGCTTGTAGAGGAAATGAAAATGGAAAATAAAGATAATTCCAAGGATCATTTTTCAGGTTTTGGCTAAAGCAAAGCTAATAGTCACTCATTTAAATATCATTTAAACATTTTTGGCATGCAGAAATTCCAGAGTCTGCCAGAAAAGGATAAAAGATCAGTAAAATGATTTTTAAAACAATAGATTTCTTATACTTACTGCTAAAAGTTTATCTCCAATCTGAAGTTTACCATCTTTATGTGCTGCACCTCCTTCAATTATTTTGGTTACATAGATGCTATTATCTCCAGGAATATGTTGATTTCCAACACCTCCAGCAATGCTGAACCCAAGACCTGTTTGGACAACACGAGTTTTAGAATCTCATCAATAAATGTGAATTTATAAGTAGAAAGAAATGGCTGAAAACTTGAAGGTGATAATTTCATCACACTAATGTTTTTAAACTAGAAAAACTCTATCTACCTACTTTTAAATTTGTAAGCATTTGTTCTGCAATCAGGGGACAATTATAAATATAGGTGTCTCTTACAGTTACAAGTAAGTTTCCTTTTTTTCCTCCCAAGTTACATCTTAAAGTCTCTTTGTAAATGTATTTGTTAGTTCAAAGAGACATTATAAAATTATGTTTCATTTTTGTTTCTGTCATAACTGTGCTTCTTACTAACAATTTTAATACCTTCGCAAGATTAAAATTGAGAAAAAATAATAAAATTGCTGGTAGTGGGTAGAATAGGTTTTTAGAAATGTGAATAGCTTATTTTTCCAATATTCTATAAATTAATTTAAATAAGGCATTTCTGTTAATTCACAAATCTCATAGCTTCAGTACCAAATTTGTAGCTCTCTATTTTTTTTTTTCGTTTGTTGGAGTACCACCTCTTCCATGAAGCCGCAAATTAGAATCAATATTTATATTTATCCTCAATCCCATCAATGTTTTCAAAATTCAGAAACCACACCTTAAAAGTCCTCATTGTAAATGTAACTGCTAATGACACACTCACATTTTCTTCTTTTAACTTAGTCTATGTACCTGCATTTAATATACTTTATGGATTAATGATTACAAATTAATATCAAAATTATATATAACTTCAAAGTATTTAAATAGAATTCTACTTAAGTCAAAAATCAGTAGAAATAGCAGAAATTCTAAAAATTCATGCAAGTTCTGTAGATTACTGATATTATTAATCTAGAATGTGTCATAAATAACTTCAAAGTTATATTTAACTAAGAGATTTCTTAATTTGTCTTAGTTCGATTTATTTTATACCTTTAGGACCTTTAATGAGCTTTATTTCCATTATTTTTTCTGATACAGGTTTCCGTCTTTTTACGTACAAGCGTACAATAGACCCTGCTTCTTTCAATGCTTCAACTGCTTTGCTATGTGTTACATCACGAACATCTACTTCATTTACTCGCAATATACAGTCATTGACCCTGAAGGAAAAAAATTAAAAATTAAAAAATCAATTTTTCACTTTGCCAATTTTTTTTGTCCTTTTCATTTTTAAGGTAAAGAGAATTATTACTAGAGAAAATATAAATGAAAAAACTGCATGTTAAATTTCAATGTATTGAATACTTATATAAATATTTCCCAATGGCTATCAAAAGAAAAAGTACAAATAATAGATTATACAAAAATATTAAATAATAATGACAGCTGCAATTTGTATGCTTATCATGTGTAGGCCTTAAGACACTTTACAAAAATAGAAAATATTTATTTAGCACTAACCACATGCCTAATACTTCTTTTAGTGCTTAACCCTCACAACAACCTGTAAGGGAGAAAGATATTTATATCCCTTTATTACAATGGAGATACAGGCACAAAGAGTTTAAATAACTTTCTCAAAGCCATCTAGATAATGACTGACACAGTTGTGGTTTAAAGGTAAGAAAACGGAGGTTCAGACTGAATGACCAGCGTAAGGTCACAGAGACTGTAAGTGGCAGAATTGAGATTAAGTAATTGATTTATCCAAAAATAAATTTTTGATTGGTTTTTCCAACTTAGATATACTAGATTTTTAAAAAATGAAGTTATTTCTTAAAATTTATATGAAGTTAAAGATTATATCATTTAATTAAAAATTTTCTCATGTAAATAATTTATCTTAATTTGACAGAGTAATATATTTTTAAAGATTGATTTGTTCCTAGTCCTAAGTTTTCCCCCTAGCTCTGCTCTCAGTTTTTTTTATTTTTTTTTTTTTTGGAGGGGGTAGATGGTGATCTCAAATTGGGCAAGGAAGGAGAATAAAACAATTAAAATATTAAAATTGATCCTGGTAAGTTTCTATATCCAATTAACTTTCTTTAGAGAAAAGAAATTCCAAAGACAGTAATATCTTAGAGTTAGTCCTGTAGGTACGTTCCTCAGTGAAACAAATGAAACATATTAATTTTCACATAAGCACAAAAAGAAGGCTAATAACAGAATCAGGAAATAAATGTCTAATTTACGTGAATGGTCAAAATATTAATATCTAATTTTATTAATATACCACCTGTCATATCCAGTGAGAAGTTTAGAAAGTAAAGTGCTGCATGGAGCCTTAAAATAAGATGTTTTTAACAGACCATATAAAATCTTTAGTCCTAAAACTTCAGAGTAGGGAATATATTAAATTACATATATTAAAAAACAACAAACTAGGGAATAATAGAAGTGCCATAATCTATGGCCTAAGGAAACAATAAAATGCTAAAGATGTCTTCTGAAGTGGAACACTAAATTTAAACAAGATGGCAATGTTATTTTCATCTATTCAATTAAGAAAATATATTTATTTAAAGTCTGCATAATCTTTACTTTGTTGCATATAATACAAACTCAGATATATCTGATCCCTTGTATCTTATAAGTTTATATATATATGCATGTATGTACGTATGTATGTATGTTTCCTGCTCAGAAATTAAATGTAAAACATTTTGTGAATGTATTTAAAAACACAAATACAAAATTAAATTCCCAAATGAAAGATGGAACTAATGCTCAGAGCGCAATTTTCTTTCATTATTTGAGCATCTACCTTATGTTAGTTATTATGATAGTGGTTCTTATTTGTATTTATGCTTTGTTCAATTTGCCTCAAGAAAAATGTACAAAGTGGATTCGGTGTCATAACAAAGTGCAAAACATACCGCAATCTTCCATCTTGGGCAGCTGCTCCCCCTGCAATAATTTTGGTAATGAAAATACTTGAGTCATCTCCAATATGTGGGTTGTCCGTACCTCCTGCAATGCTGAAACCAAGCCCTGAATTTCCCTAGACATAAAGAGGGAAAAAATTGGAAGACTGAATAAGAATTATCTTTATTGATAGGTTCCTGTCATTATAAGACCTAGAAACTATACTAACACAAGAACAAACACATGAAGGTTTATGTGTAG